ATTATGGACAAAAAGCCAAGTAAAAAGAGAAAAACCAGAGACTTCTTACTATTTAAAATGAAAATAGTCCAAAAATACCATCTTATGTACCAAAGTTGCCACTTTCATATCCATTCCCATCTATCGAAGGAAAATACAATTACAGATTGCCAGAGAATCATAATTGCAAAAAAATACCAGCTGCCTCAGCATTACGAGCATATGACAAGAATTTTTAGCATATTCACGAGAAAGCCACTAAATTTCGGACCAAAATCTTTCAAGCTCCCATTGTGTATTGCTCGTCCTTATCTGTTCAATGGCATGCCTTTGCTGTTAATCAAATATAAATAAATAATACTTAAAAAAAGCAGTTTTTTCTCTTTCCAACAAACCTGAGAAATATATATAATCTTACTCTAACTTAGTAATTATTATACCAACGGAATTGGTTTAAGTGATAAGTAGGTTGATATCGCTTAATCAGGTTTCGAGTTCGATTCTTTGTACATGTAAAAAATTCTCGATGAGAGATTCATCCACTAAAATCAAAATGTGTGGCTCGAATCAATCTTGATTAATCAGAACGAAAGCTTGAGAATATGGATGACAACAAAAAAAAAACAGTAATTATTATATTAGTTTATTACTCAGCTGTGCAAACATGTTAATTTATCCATATATCACTGTAAAAATAATATTTATTAATTATTGTTTATTAAAATGAAATTTTGAGTATTACTCGAAGAAAAATATAACACATCATATACTTTTCTGAAAGTTATGTCACGCTAACTGTGTTTTTTAATAGTGCATTTGATGTGTTGTGTCTTTTTACGTGACATTAAAAGATACATCGAAAAATAAAAAATAATATATTTAAAAGAAAAATAATAGACTGTTTGTTTATCTCTTAATGGAACCATTCAGCGTTGAATGTTGAACCGTTCAACATTCAGCGCGTTTGTTTCGCACCTCTGAATGATTCAGTGCTGACTGATTCAACAAAACAGTGCTGAATAATTCAGCACAGAAGTACATTTTAAATGATTCAGCACAGAAGTACATTCTGAATGATTCAGAGCCATTATCAAACAACATGTCACACTCAAAGTTAATTCATACATAGCATCTGAATCATTCAGCATTTAAATCATTCAGCGCTTAATTATTCAACGCTTAATCATTCTGAAATAAACAAACAACCCTTAAGTTTTATCTAAACAGGAGAAATATGTGCAATACTTCAACACATGTTAATACAAGTATGAGTCAAGCAATGATATTAGTCTGACTTACATCTTAATTAAATTTTTTTAAATGTAAATATATTATTTTAAACGTACACATTTAATAATTAAATATAAGATTAGTAATTTAGTACATAAGTGTATCTGAGACCAACTTATACTAACTTTAATGTTAACTTTATGCATCTTTTTCTTTTTAGACAACTTTTAGATAATTTCATGAGATTAAAATTTAAAATTATTGACCTAAACATCACTCTAAAAGATATTTAAGTAACATCTTGTTGGCAAAGAAACAGAACCGATTTAACGGCATTAAAAATGCGTGTGTACTTCAATCACTAAATAAATGTATATATAAAAGGTTATTTTTATATATTTTAAAAATATATATATATTTAAATAATAGATAAAATATACCAATTATCTTCCGACTATATAATATTATTTTATTGAGTTCCCTTATTAGTAAAAGTTATAAAATGATCACTGATTTTATGGAGTTACTTTATTGAGTTCATCTACTATTAAATGTTATAAAATGATCACTGACTATTAATTATGTTCCAAACACGTCATTTTTTGTTTTAAAAAAAGATTGTCTGAGTTAGACGTTAATATGCTGACTGAGATATGATAGTTGTTTGAGATTATGAGATCAAATTTTATCATATCTCAGTCAGCAATTTAACGCCCAGCTCAGAGTGGCATTAATTTCTTAACGGAAAAAGATAAGTTTGGAATATAATGAACAATCAAGTGACTATTTTATAACTTTTAATAGTCAATGGACTCAACAAAGCAACTCCCTATAATCATGGTCTATTTTATAATTTTTCAAATGACTCAATAAATCAATATCCTATAGTCATGGGACTATTTGTGTATTTTACCCTTATATAATATGATAGTTAAAAATCATATGAACAGGTTTTTTGTTTTGAGTTTCCAAATATAAGACAATTTCTTATAATGAGATCTTCAATATTTCATAATGATATTTTCATGAATAATATTTTGAGCATTATTTACATAAATAAAGAAATTAATGTTTTTCTAATGAAAATACCTAAATTTCATTTATTTTTTTCTTAAACATATTATTTTCTTTTACTTTGATCCTTTGTAATTAAACTTTTATTTAAAATAATTTTAAACTCACGAAATACACATTTGGTAAATCCTACAATATCATTTTAATAATTAATTGGTGATAATATTTAGGTAACTTAACCGTGCAAACACACGTGACACGGTCAACTGGTTTTGAAATTCCAAAAATACCATCCTTCTAGAACAGTGAATTTTGGTTTTATATAGGGGTATAATCGATAATATCAGTGAGTTTCGAAAAGGTTCGCAAAAACAATAACATCTTGAGTAGGGATGGGCATAAATATCTAAACCCGACAGGTTTCGATTCGATCCGATTTGATCAGATCGAGTTATTTTAAAAAAAAAATTAAGGTCGATTGGGTTCGGGTTTAGGGTGAAAATATCAGACTCGACTCGAAAAATTTATAATTTTACTTTATATATTTAAAAGTAATTACAATAATACTCATATATATATATATATTTTTTTCAATTAAGTTATTATTTTTATTAAATAAAAATAATATTTTTTTATTATTTTAGGTCATGTTAGGTCAAAATTTTAAATTATATATCAATTTATATTCGGATCTGATGAAATTTTATTTAGGTCAAATTGAGTCAAATCTCAAATGAAAGATTTTTTGATCTCGAGTCGGGTCGGGTGGACAAAAACCCGACCCATACCATCCCTAAATTCGTGAGGAATGAGTTTAAAAGAAAGAAAAAAAAGAGAAGAGGAAATTCGTTTTGGGGTCTCTTTTCACTAAACGACAAGCACCGTCTAGTCCCGACTGCTCCCGACAAATGTCAGCAAGCTGGAAAACGGGACACGTAGACGGTCAGTTTTTGTAACGCAGCCAGAACTCAGAGTTGAAGGACAGCTGATACCTTAACTCAACCATGGTTAAATCTGGCGCCGCTTTAACTATTATTTTTATTGGTTAATTGTTATTTTAAGAGCCTCAAACTTTAAAAAAAACTAATATGGTATTTAAACTTATTTTTGCATCTAATATGATCCTTAAATTAAGAAAAAAATCATTTTTGGTCCTTTGACAATAAAATCCAATGTTGATCGTTACATGTTGATGTTGCGTTACATGTTGATGTTGGGGTTCACAATTCTAATATGACATTCTACAATGTTAAAATGGTGATTTATCATATTGACGTGACAAAGGTATTTAGTTGTTTTTTAAAGAGATCGAAGGTTTAATTAAATTTTTAGAAAGTTTGATGTCTTATTTATTTTAAAAAATAAAACATATATTTAAATTTAAAAGATCAAAATAACAAAAATAAAATTATAAAATCTATTACAAAAAAATATCAAAAAGCTATAAATGATAAATTAAAATTATTTAGAAAATAAAAGTTTTAAAAAATATATAAAAAATATTTGTTAAAAAAATAATTTAATCGAAAAGTCTTTTATTGTCTCTCATTAGGTTGAGTCTACCACCATTTATTAAACATATTTTTAGTTGAAAATATAGTAATATTTTTATATTTTCGAATATTCCTCTAACATAGTATCATAAAAAATATGAATTCGAATACAAATAAGTAATATAAGTGTGGTTTATATGCTAGCATAATTTACAAATAGTTCTTTGAATTATCTGAAATATGATTAGATATGTGTATTAACACAAATGATTTTATGATGTTTCTTATTATTTTCAAATTAAAAATTTATAAGTCTCGACTAATCTAGTAAGAATACTTTGTACAAGTATTAATGATATGAATGCTTGATTATAAAAGTATGTTCAGTAGGCATACATGTTAAAAGTATATGAATATGAAAATTAAAAGTATACCAACTTTGTTAATTCGATTATATGAATATGTTTAATTTTTCTTTGTACGTATATGTTACATGAATATATTATGTATAATACATGATATTTAAGTTAATTTATATGCTTCAAACATTTTTGACGTGAAAGCATGCTTCTATACGATATAGTTGAAATATGAAATATATACCACAATGACTACGTGTATATATTTGACATGCTTGTATGTCTAAATGAATTAGATAAGATAAAATCATAAAAACGAAAAAACTTTAAAGTGATTTAATTAAAAAATAATTAAATATATTTATATTTGTCTTATGATCCAACTGGTATGAGCATGATTAAATTACATTATCATTGTATCTACATATATAAAGTATTAAAAGTCAAAAAAGATTAACCAAAAATATATTCAATAAGTAGTAGACTCAAAATAACTAGAGGTGACATTTTTTATGAAAGTGTTAATTTTTTTTAAAAGAATTTATCATTTATTATTTTATAACCTACATTATTTTTATGCTATTTTTATTTTTCTTTGAAATTACAACATTGTGTTCAATATTCTTTTAATAACTTAATTTGATTGAATATTTTGATATTTTTAAAATTTTAAGTGTTTTTAAAAATAATTAATTAAGTCTTTATGTTACGTAATCATCCACCTTAAATTATCATGTCAATACCATGAATTGTCGTATTAATATTATAACCATTATCATCAAATTTCGTAAGTTAAAAGACAAGATTATTTTTTTCTCAATTTAAAGGTCATATTAGATGTAAAATAAGTTTTAGGGTCATATTGATTTTTTTCAAAAATTTGAGTGTGTCAAAGTAATCAAGCATTTTTTAATTTCACAATCTCTCTAGTCTCCATTGCTTATTTACTGTTTTCTCTCCTTTCGCTATATATGTATATATCATGGGCATGAAGCCGCCTTATGAGACCTCCTCGTGCTCTTCCGGTCTTGACTCGACGACGACTTAGTTGAATTGTGGCTTTTATTTTATTTTATTTTGTTTCGTTTTTGTTTTAACTCAAATGAAAGCCAAATACTTAGACTAAAAGCTTTTTGTCTTTTTCTTTCAAAGTGTTTTTTTAATCATTTTTCCTTTCGAAAAGTGAAAACAATTCATAATCTTTGAAACCCAAACCATTATTTGCGGTGAATCGTTGTATAAAAAACTGGGTTATTGTTTGTTTTGTAGTTGAAAACGAAGAAACTTTTGGGCTGTATTTTATTGGGATTTTAAGTTTGATAAAAAACACGATGGAGCTTGAAAATTCGTCGCCGGTGACAGTTTCTGCAGCTTCTGGAGAAGCCACTGCTTCTTCTTTAGGTAATCAGATTCAAGACACTCAACTAGCAGCAGGAGGACCACCGAAGAAGAAAAGAAATCTTCCCGGGATGCCAGGTGAAGTATACAAGAACATTCATACTCCACCTTTTTTTAATCTCAATAATTTTGAATTTCCAAGTTTTCTGTATTGTTGTGAAAAAAATAATACTATCTTTTTCTTCTTTCTGGACTCATTTCAGATCCAGATGCTGAGGTGATAGCTTTATCTCCAAAAACCCTACTAGCGACCAACCGGTTCGTCTGTGAGATCTGTAACAAAGGCTTCCAACGAGATCAAAACCTGCAACTCCACAGACGAGGCCATAACTTGCCATGGAAGCTACGGCAAAGAACCAGCAAAGAAATTCGGAAGCGAGTCTACGTGTGCCCCGAGCCGAGTTGTGTCCACCACAACCCGGCTCGAGCCCTAGGTGATCTTACAGGTATAAAGAAACACTTTTGCAGGAAACACGGTGAAAAGAAATGGAAATGCGAGCGGTGTTCTAAAAAATACGCCGTTCAGTCCGATTGGAAGGCCCACATGAAGACTTGCGGCACCCGAGAATATAAATGCGATTGTGGCGCCATCTTTTCTAGGTATAAATACAATTACAAACTCATCCGTTTCCCATTCACAATTCAACTCTTTCTTTTATCATTACCGGGCGTTTTTTCTGTGGGTGGTTCTGGGTTTGACGACGATGATGGTTTTTGAAGGAGGGATAGTTTCATAACGCATAGAGCTTTCTGCGATGCGTTAGCTGAGGAAAGCGCTAAGGCCCAAACGGTAGCAGTTGTTAATACAGAAGTAAACGTTAATGCGAATGGAAATGGTGGTGGAACTATTATTGGAGGAGCTGACGCTGCGACATCACCACCACCTCGACCTTTAACACCCTCTACTAGTGTAGTTTTTCCGGGTTTATCAATTCAGAGTTCAGGTAAAAAAATATTAGTGTGGGTCTCTCTCTATATATATATATGTTGAAGATTCCCCACTATATTTTGTTTTTGTTTATTAATTAGATAGGTCATAGTTGAGATAATCGTAGGGGTGCTTCCTTTCAAAATCGTTTTTGTTTATGGGAGTCCATTGAAATAAAGTTTCTGGTGTTTTATGGCTCTGCGTTGTCTCTTATTATTGTCGCTCTCGTTTGGATGTTTAGTCTTAGGGAACCTAACACGTGGTAGGTGAGAGAGAAGCAGCAGCAGAATATAATAAGAATAAGAGAGAGAGAGGTGTTTGAGTAGTTTAGTTTTGGGTTCACGAGTAAGATAGTTAATTAGTGCCAATAAGTATTAAGTAAAGCTCAGCAAAAAGGGTGTGAATTGATCAGAGAAAGAAAGAACGAAAGGAAGGCATTGTTGCTTTTTGTTTTACTTCTTAAAGCTTTTCAAGTTTCATAGGGCTTAAAAAATGGGACCATAAAGGAAACCCCTCTCTCTTTTAAGCTCCCATGTTATCATTGCTTCTTTTCATTTGATTGTTTTCTTTCTCAATGTCTGACAGAAACACCTGGAAATGCAATGGGATTTTCACCGGCAACTCCAGCAGCAGTTACTGCCTCTACTTCAAACGCCAATGTTTTCTCTAGCATGTTTGCACCAAACTCCCAACCGTCCAACATATCTGCACCATTGGAGCGAACATCCCTATCTCTTTCGTCTCCACTTTACCTATCCAACAATGGCTCCTCCATCTTCACCGGACCCGAAAACGATCATTGTCACTATGCTCCAACTCCACAGCTCCCCATGTCGGCTACTGCATTGCTACAAAAAGCTGCCCAAATGGGTGCCGCGGCATCGAACCCTTCATTGCTTCGTGGTCTAGGCTTGACAATATCCTCGGCTCCCTCCGCTGGTCAAGATCTTAATGCCAAGTCCGACAGCAACATTGAGACATTGAGGCTTGCCCTTGGAGTTCCCTCAAACGGAAGTTCTGGCTTAACCAACCCCATGATAGACTCGTCCTCGCTTTTTGGAAACAAGCCAACAACGCTGGATCTTCTCGGCCTTGGCATGGCTAACGGCGTAGCTTCCTCAAATGGACTGTCTGCGTTGCTCGCTTCCTTTGGAGGTGGCTTCAATGTCGGAGCAACGACCATGACAACATTTGGAGCAGGAGGGAGTAATTCTCCTAGAGAAACATGGGACGGTGCACCTGAAATAAAACTCAATGGCCCAACCATGCTTTAGAGATTTGAGTTCCCTAGTGCCGAAATGAAAAACAAAAGTTACAGCTTAGAACCCAAAAAATGATGTTAGACATTAATTTTGAGTTTTCTTACATGCATTTAAAGCTTAATTTCCTCTTAAGGTAAAACCTGGAAGAGATGGATCCGGGGAAAAGGCTGTACAGGAACTCATCTAATTAACAGCCATCAGATGTAGCACGAAATATGATGCAACTATATATACAGTTTTTTTTTTGGTTTATTTATTTCTCAGATCATTGTTTTCACTTCCAAGTTCAGATTTGACTGTCAACTGGAGTTCCGTTTCCCAAAAATGGACTCAACACAATGGGCATGAAGTGAAAACTTTGGTCAAATGGGTAGTCAATTTGTAAATAGAAGATGCAGGACCCTTTGGAGTTGAGATTTCAAAGCTGAAGAACCCCATTTAATGAGGTGAGTTGGCAAAGCTATAAGTGCATGTATATCCTGGCAGCTGGGCCCTTGAGCCTTTGTAGGTGGTGGGGTTGTTTTCGCCTGCTGTTTCAAACGAGAGCGCATTCAGAAAAAAAAAATATGCAGAGACTGGGAAATGCGACCGAATATGATAAATGAGAAACAAATGGATGTTTCGTGGGCTTCATGTTTGGTTTCATGGCTTTGTAGCTGACTTGCTGCCGTTACGTGTGATTGATGTTAGCTTTTCCTTAAATGAGGGGGAACCATGAAATTTTGCCTTTCAACGAGGAAACCGCCATTAGCGTAGTTGAATGCTGAATAATTTTAATTAATGATTTAATGCCCATAACATCAAAAATTCAATAATTAATTTGAAAATTACATTTCCCGTTGGTAGGGAAGCCATGAAGCTAATAGTGACACATATTGACTATATTGCAATTTGTGGTTAGTTGACAGGGTTATCCCTCATACAGAGTCGATTCTTTTATTTGTTACGATGTGTTAGGTGCAATATATAATCTTTTCCCTTTATTATCTTCCAAGTTCAATTGAAATTAGAGAACGAAGTAGAGTGCTGCTGTCATTTTCGTCCAGTTTATGTATTGATTATAGGGGTGTGCAAAATTACCCGACCCGGTTGACCCGACCCGCCGACCCGGATCTAAAAAAATCGGGTAATTCTTTAAAAAAAATTATACGGTCGGGTCGGGTACCCGGCCCGACATTTCCCGGGTCGGGCCCGGGTCATAAAATCTAGTTTTTCCGGGTACCCGGTTACCCGAGTACCCGGTTAGTTTGTATTTTTTTTTATTTTTTTATATATAATTATATAAAATATAATGAATTATTTATATTATGGATTATTATATTTTGTATTTTGAACTTTTAAATTTTATGTTCGGATATTAGAGTATGTAATTCAAAGTTTTGAACATTTAAATTTGTGTATATATTTTTTTAAATTAATAATTTGAAAATAAAAAATTAAAAACCGGGTATCGGGTACTCGATTACCAGATACCCGTAACATCCGGGTCGGAACACGGGCCGAGAAATCATCGACCCGGAAGTTCCGGATACCCGAAAATCGGGGTACCCGGATTTACACACCCCTAATTGATTATATGGATAAACTATATCCATGACTATTAATCTATTGTTTTTTTTTCTTATTTTAATAATCGAATTATATTTTAAATAAAAGTACCAATAATAAAAAGGAATATCGATTCAAAGAATAATTAAAAAAAAGTGTTAGATGTTTGAGTAAAAGTATAGACAATTTATTTATGGTCGAAAGGTAAGGTGAGAGATTTTAGAAAAGAGGGAGCTAGATTTTGGATAAATTATTTTATGAATCTTTCTCATCACGTAAGATATAAATCCAACCAATAATATTAAAACATGTCAGCAGTTTTTTTTTCTTAATGATCATTAAATTTATACTTTAATTTTTAATTGTTTATTTATTTCAATATCAATATTAAATCTCCATATCTTCTTCAACATCTTAACTTCCTTTCCCCTACTCTGTTAACCACAATCATCATAACTGCCGTAACTGTCATTTTTTTTATTATAATATTGTAAGAGATTAATTACATCTACCAAGCCTCGAGTTTTTGCCATCCATAATAGTTTCTTCACTCTTCAAAGTTTGGTTTTACCATAAACATCGAGCATCCGATTAAAAATCTTACAAAGCTCATCAACAAGCACAACGCGTGCACATTAGTTAAAAATCTTGGAGTATTTGGCAGAAAATTACGGTTTTAGATAGCAAGCATTGGAAAGAAGGAAGAGAAGCGACGGTGGCTAGGTGATTGTGGTTAACAAAGAGAAAGAAAAGGGGAGTGAAGAGGTTGAAAAAATATAGAAATTTAATACTGATATGGAAATAAATAAATAATCAAAAGTTTAAGTCTAAACTTAATAATGATTAATAAAAAGTTATTGACATATTTTAATATTATTGATTGGGTTCATATTTTAAGTGGTGAGGAGAGTTTATAAAATAATTTTTTTTAGATTCTGGGTCGGATATAGATTCATGTATAATAAGAGTAAATAAGAAAGAACAAACAAACCAAATGGAGTAAAACTTCAAATTATGACTAATTCAATCCGAAGATTTGCATTTGTTTCCTGGAATAACATGGTGTTGTAGCCGCTGATTTACAATTAATTAAACTCTTTTTTAAATTATTAAGTTAAAATAATTACAAAATAATATATATTCTAAATACTTTCAATTATTTAATAATAAATATTAAAACACTTTTACAATTACTAATATGAAAACCCATAATTTTTACAAATAACATCGATTTCTTTTAACTCAATTGGGAAACTTGTGACCCCATATAAAATAAAACTTGTAAAGGATTACATCTACTAGATGAGACCGATGACTGTTTCTGGTACACTACAGGACCGTCATCTATGACGCAAAGCCAATAACCATTTGCTATTAAATATTCATCTCCAACTTAATTCTATGCATAATAATAATAATAAAACAAGTGGTTGCAAAAGCGATACTCAAAGCTTCAGTTTAAGAGTTAAAAAATATGAATTCAACGCTCCTTGTGACTTATGATCCCCCATGCTCACCACAGATCTTTCCCAAACTTAGATACACCTCACAGATTGAACCATGAATCACTTCACTCTCGCTTTCATTTCATTCCTTGCATGTTTCTTGAAATTTGTATCAATCATATGGGTTCCCTGGAAGATCCAAAACCACTTCAAAAGGCAAGGAGTGACCGGGCCTGCCTACCGTCCAATCCTTGGGAACTCACCCGAGATCCAACGTTTGTTTAAGGAAGCTAAGTTGAAGCCAGCTTCAGTTGACCACCACGATATCCTCCACGAGTGGCCCTTCTACCACAGGTGGTCGGGTATGTACGGGACGCCGTTTCTGTATTGGTTCGGGTCGAAGCCGAGGCTAGGAATTTCGGATCCTGATATGATCAAGGAAGTTGCTATGAACACGAGCGGGTTGATAAGGTCCGGTATAATCCCATGTCCAAGTTGCTGTTCGGACAGGGGCTTGTTGGATTGACAGGTGAACAATGGGCCATCCATAGGAGGATTGCAAACCTGGCCTTCAATATGGAAATAGTTAAGGTAAAATCGAACCGTGTCCATTTATGGGTTTTCTATTAGGCCTGTAAACGAACCGAAAGTACACGAACGGAGATATATTTATGTTTGTTCATTTAATAAATAAACGAAGACGAACGTAAACGAACAAATTTTTTTTTGTTCATGTTCGTTTATTAAAGAATATAACTTGTTCATGTTCGTTTATTTAATAAATAAAGGAACATAAACGAACACAAACATAAATGATCATAAACGTTGGAGACCTTACCTTCCATTGTTCTTTCATGAAAAATAGTCGACAATGCAAATCAACTAAAACTTCAGTGATAAATAGCGTAAGAGCTGATTAGCAATGATGAAATGTTTGAAGATATCAAATATTTCGATCGATCTTTTAAAGATATTAAATGATTCACACTACTTTAATCTAACCAAATTCTATATATTTTTCTCTTTACTGCAATAACTTTACATATAAACTATTAAGCTAAATAAAACAAAGAAAGAGATGAAAACATACCTGTAAAACTTCAGATTGTACTATAATATAACTTGTTTTGAAGCTTTCAGTGATCGTCTCCACTCTCTAGTGAACACTAGAGTTTGAGAAAAAAGGGGGAAAATGAATATAAGTGTGAGGTGTCTCACGGGTTAATATATTAGATTTAATCTACAAATAAAATTGGGTTAATTATGAAATTGATCATCAGAATATCAGATTAATTAATATTTTTAAGATGCTTACAAATTGGTCACCAAAATTGATTTAAGAAGATTGGGTTAAACATAAATGAATGAACATAAAGAACATAATCGAACGAACATAAACGAACATAATCGAACATAACCGAACGAATATAACCGAACGTTCACGAACGTAAATGAATGAACGAAGTCTATGTTCATGTTCGTTCATTTAATTAAACGAACACAAAATCTTGTTCATGTTCGTTCATTTAATAAATAAACGCACATAAACGAACTTCCCGCCGTACGGTTTATGAACGGTTCGCTGAACGTTCAGTTCATTTACAGGCCTAATTGTGAATGTAAAATCGTGTACAGTTGAATTCTTCCTGATTATCAATTATGTAACTCGAACCAACACTGTTTTTGCACGCAACTCTTCTTTAACTTCAGGGTTGGGTACCTGAAATCGTAGCTGCTACTACGAAACTGCTAGAGAAATGGGAGGAAGAAAGAGGCGGGAGAGACGAATTCGAATTGGAAGTGAACAAAGAACTTCATGACCTCTCAGCTGACGTTATATCCAGAACAGCATTCGGAAGCAATTTTGAAGAAGGAAAATGTATCTTCATGCTACAAGAACAGCAGATGGAGTTGTTCTCAGTGGCTATAAGAAGTATCTATATCCCAGGGTTCAGGTAACCTTTACTTTTCTCGGCTTTTCTCTTCCAATTCACTTAACAAAATAAGTTTGTTTATGTAAATGTCCAAACTCGAGATGAGTGTCAACTATGGATACAACATATGCTGGTAAAATAATAGGAAGAAATGATCTTTGATGCCTAGTCTATCCATGCATGATAAGTGATAGCCTAAGTTATTGTTGAGTCAGGTTTTTTGCCTACTAAGAATAACAGAGAGAGGTGGAGACTAGAACGGGAAACTCGCGAATCCATAAGGGCGGTGATCCAGTCTAACAGAAACAGAAGAGAAAACTCTTCAAGTCTA